TGAGTATAAAACCAGTCATCCCAGGCCTCGCTTCGATTAAGCATTTTGAAGGAGTTGCACGAAGTAAAAACAGCGGGCCACCTCGGGGTCAGAAAGACTATAAAAAGGGTACGCGAGAGGCGGTATATTTCCCGCAATTATACAAAATAGTAACGGCGTATGTCAGGTCCTGCAATCAATGTCAGTTAATAAATGATATTAATTACAGCCCGGCCGGGTACTTAAATAGCATTCGCGCTACATTTCCGAATGAAATTTTTAGGCATAGATCTCCTTGGTCCCTTCCCCCAGAGCGAGTTAAATAAAAATCGTTTTCTTTTAGTAATAGTAGAGATCATTTTTCAAAATGGATAGAAATTGTTTCCACTTAAACGCGCGTCAGCCAAAACAGTCGCAGATGCATTCTTACACAGATACATTTTAAAAATACGGTGCACCGATAAAAGTCATTAGCGATAACGGAAAACAATTCATTAGTCAAATATTTGAAAACATATGCAATGGACTTGGCATACGCCATATCAAAATGGTTCCGTATAGACCACAGGCTAACATAGCAGAAAGAGTTAATAAAAATAAACATTGTAAAAATAATTCGCAGTTTACGTGAGCACACATCACAAGCGCTGGGATGGCTACATAAATGAATTAGCTTATGCTTTAAGAAAAGAACGGCAACATCATGATACTACGGGAAAAACTCCAGCAGAATTATTCTTAGGCCGAAAATTAATTACGCCTTTAGATAAATTATTTTGTGCAACAAAGAGAGCAGGAGTTTAAACAAAAAGATGTGCAAAAAGTTGATTGATCAGGCGCTTAAAACCTCGGATACGGCAAGAAATAGGCAGAAACTATATTACGATAGAAAACGCCGTGAAGCAGATTTTAAAGTTGGGGATAAAGTATTGAAGCGGGAATTTTTCGGAAATTTCAATCTTTTAAGTCTGGGGCACTTAAATAGCATCTGCGAATGCTATTTAAGTGCCCCAGACAATTTTATGGCAAAGCTAGCTCCAAAGTTTGAAGGCCCCTATGTAATTCAGGAAATCAAAGGAGTAGTCTTATATCTTAAGAACGAGAGAGGGGAAATCTGTAAAGCAAGTCCCGACCAGGTGAAAAAATACTATAATCCAAATAATTTTGAAATCCTTAAAAGTTTCTTGCAGGACTCAAGTCTAAACGAAATAGAAGGTCCAGAGACTACAACAACTATTCCACCACCCAAGAAACAGAGAACTGAAGAGAGACCTAGCACTTCTACAACCCGGACGTCGGTATCAAAAAGAAAAAAATAATTTTCAAACTCCGGCGTTTAAAAAAAAACAAAAATACAGATGCACCCGGGTAAAGAAACCGTGTGGTAAAGAGAAAAACACCACCTACAAAGGATAGCAGGAGAAATTACACACATCAAGGAGAAACGCGCACACGGCCACAGAGTCAGGTGCCAGCAAGGCCGCCGTTCCGGAAACTGAAACGCCAACAGGAGGCACAAAAATACGAGACGAACAGAAGAAATTCAAGAAGGACTCCAGACCGGAGGACGTCAAGACCAGCCGTCCCAGGCAGAAACGGAAAGGCCAACAACCAGACGATTACTCCGTCAAGAGGCCAGCATGTAGAGGACGCAAAAGAAAAAGCAACGTGGACGACACTCGGAGATCAATAAGGAGAAGATTGACATCCATGAAACCTCTAACTTGGGATCAATTTTGCCAAAAACGGATGACGGAGTTTTCAAGCATCGAAAACTCAAAGATAAGTTAAAAAAACCTTCTATAAATTTTTTTTTCTCTTTTGTTCCGAAATGTTATGCATAAGTACGAAGTTCTATGTTTTGACGAAAGTCAATATGTCTCGGTTGAGACTTAGTTTTGTTTTACTTTATTTAGCTAAGGCAAAAGTATTATTTTCTTTAAGTGTAAAAGCTAAAAACAAGCATTTTCTGTTGGTCGAAAGACTAATTCTGTTATGTTAAAGCCAAAATTTGGCCGAAGATAAAAATAACTTCGTATTCTTGTATTAATAAGAATTTTACTTTCAGTGCCGCCAGCTTGGCGAAGAATGAGTAAAGTAAAAATTTATTTTCTCTTATTCATTTTATGGTAAATTGTAAAAAGCATATGTATTAAAATTTTGTAAATGTACGTAAATACTTGAAGGTTATGTAAAAGTAGAATTTAGTCTAGAAGCATAAAATTGTAGATGCTAAAAGTGAATGCTTAAAAGCAATGAAGTCAAAATTTAAGTATTAAATTGTAGATAAAGTCATGCTTTAGAGCGAAAGCCTGCATGTTTAAAGATGAATGAGGGGGAAGTTAGAATGAATGTGTTTTGTAGGGTTCTCCACCTACATTTGAATTTTTAAGAATATTAAAGTAGCTCATTGAGTTGTAGAATGTCGAGTAAGGTGTGTCTATTTTGTCGTTGAATTCTAATAAATCATGGTGGTTAGGGGAAGTGTTGTAAGACTAAAATTTTGTATGTAAATGTAATTTGGCCGAAGATAAAAATAACTTCGTATTCTTGTATTAATAAGAATTTTACTTTCAGTGCCGCCAGCTTGGCGAAGAATGAGTAAAGTAAAAATTTATTTTCTCTTATTCATTTTTATGGTAAATTTGTAAAAAGCATATGTAATTAAATTTGTAAATGTATGTAAATACTTGAAGGTTATGTAAAAGTAGAATTTAGTCTAGAAGCATAAAATTGTAGATGCTAAAAGTGAATGCTTAAAAGCAATGAAGTCAAAATTTAAGTAGTAAATTGTAGATAAAGTCATGCTTTAGAGCGAAAGCCTGCATGTTTAAAGATGAATGAGGGGGAAGTTAGAATGAATGTGTTTGTAGGGTTCTCCACCTACATTTGAATTTTTAAGAATATTTAAAGTAGCTCATTGAGTTGTAGAATGTCGAGTAAGGTGTGTCTATTTTGTCGTTGAATTCTAACAATCATGGTGGTTAGGGGAAGTTTGTAAGACTAAAACACGAATATTCCCTTTTTGACACCACACACACGGTGGAGAGCCAGGGTAAAGTTAAATTAATGCTTGAAAAAATTGAATGAATGTGAAGTAAGCAATAACTAAGAAAAAACGAATCGTTTAAAAACAAAAATTTATTGTGTCAAGAAAGTGTAAATTATAATGTATTGTAAAGATACTGATACTTATTCCTTCCAGATGCTGGAAGGAAAGACCAAGATTGATTGATGAAGTCCAGGAAAAGTTGCTGTAAGAAGAAAGCTTTGTAACGATCAACAGAATTTAGTATACAAATTGGTTACATAAGATATTTTTTTGTGTAAACGAGGTTCTCGCCAATTAGTTCAGAATTAGAGAAACTTACAACAGGTCGTTTGTAGGACCTGCTTCCAAGTTTTCCAAATTCTGGCAGCGGCAAATGTAGGGTTTATATTTATTTTAACTAACATTTATTTTAAGTTTAAACTATCTTTCCTGTCAAGCCTTACTTTCCCCTGGAACTGCCAATGCCAGAATATGTAAATTTTAGTAGAACGCGCAAGGATTCAAATTATCAGCGGAAGTAGTATGATTTAAATAGGAAGGAAACAAGTTCGGTGTGTGATATATTCTTACTTAGCGAGCGCGGAGGTAGTTAGCGAGAATTGAAGAACCCCGCGTTGCGGCCTATGTGCTTGGCGGGAAGTAGTGGTAATCGTTCCAGTGAGCTTCAAGTCTGCTGAATTAGCAGCGGTATTGTAAAACGCGGTGAGTTAGTTATTTTAGAGAGCCTCGTAGTTAGAATCTTGTCTTTACTTTCTTTTCAGGTTATTATTTTTATTTGACTGCCGAGTTGGCACCGTCTGTAAGCGTCAAGAGCACGCAAATTGTAATTTATTACGTTGAATAAAAAGGGACTTAAACCCTTCACAAGACTATCTTTTATACAGTTTCCACAGTCACCCCTTGGTTGCGTGCAAGTTGGAGGCGCGCAACGTTATAAGTTATTTGCTTAAATGTTGCACATTGTATAATAATTATAGGATGCATTTTTTGTGCACTAAATTTCTGGCTATGTATTACGCATATTTTGTATATGTTGCGTAGAATTACTGATCTTGTGATTCCAAATTCAGCAACGTTCAAATTGTAGAAAACAGATCATTTAGAATCCGAAGTCTAAAACGAAATTCTCATAACGGTACTTAGCGACAATATTGATTCTTAACTTGTCGACATTAAAAATTTCTTGCCATTTTGATGACTTCTTGGAAGTTTAGAAAAACGTATTTCCGAACCTCTGACAGTGATTTTTCTTGAACCTTCCAGAAAACTAGGTAAAACTATATAAATGCACTTTACAGCCAATAAAATTCGTTTTAGTCAGCTCTGCATAATGTCAAAGAGACTGTGGTTCAAAGAGGTAGATAAATTCCGTTTCAGAATTTATTCTCTAAGCTTGTAGGAACATTAGCATTTTTGGAAGCTGGCAAGATGAAAAATTAGCAAACGCCTTCGCCGGGAATCGAACCACGGATCTCTGGATACCGGCCCAGCATACAGACCGTAACACCACGAAGGCACCCTAAGAAGGGGGGAGAAATAATTTATAAGCTTTTTTGGTAATCTACGATATTTTTTGTGTGTTTGTTGCATACAGTTTCGTAAGAGAACTTGCCTTATTTCTGTATTTTCCTCAACTTATTTATAGCTTTTATTATTCTGTCAACTCCGACTATTAATTTTTGCTTCCTTATCTAGGGTCATATTTGAAGAGATTTCTACGAACTCGTAGCTCGCAGCAATGTTTACTATTATTTAATTTTTTATTAACGTTTTTTATTTTAACACCAAAACTGTAATGTAATAGCCTTGCTTAGCGAACTGAATCCAGTTTTAAAATATTGCTACAAAAGCTTTGAATTTCCCTTTAAGAAGTTTTTTTTTTTTTTTTTTTTTTTTTTTTTTTAATTTGCTAGATTATTTAGTGATTCAGCTATTGACTGTGTCTACTTAATTGACTTTTTACAAACAGGAAGCTTGAAGAGCTGATGAAACATCACGTAGTCATCGGACGAGTGAAGACAGAAAGCATATCTGACAATCAGAAGGTCGACTCTATAGATGACGAAAATGCTCTCAGACTTAAGGTTTATCGAAAGGTGAGTGCAACCGAATTTATACAATTCTTTGTATTAAGAGAAGACAGCAACTGCAGCGACAAAGGAAACGTTTTTGGGAAAAGTAATTTATTATAAAAATTGTAGATTTATTAGGTTATTTTGAAGCTGAAGGCATGAAAAATGCGTGATGCCTTCTCCCGGACTTGAACCTGGAGCTTTCGAGCACGCGCCGAGTGTGCTACCGCTACACCACGAAGACATGCAGAAAAGAGGGAGAAAATACCTTATAAAGTTATAAAATACAAATACAAATAAAAATTATAGAAACAGAATATGTAAATATAAGAATTTCCCACTTGCACCTTGTATGGAAAGAAACTAACTTTACAGACTACGGAACATAGCAAATACTTTTCAGTTCTCATGAGTTCAAAACGGCTTTCTTTTAAATATTTTTTACTTCTTTGTATATTTTTTCCTGCATTTTTAAATGCCAAAAGACCTATACCGGCTGCTCAGTAACTTACACCGGCGATATACTTAATAAACGGCCAGAATACGTAGCAGCCACTAACTGCCGGAGGAAAAAATAGTAAACTTACGCTACACTAGCGAAATCATGCTCTGTCTGACCTTCTCGTTTCCACCTGTTTAAATACTCTCTTCATTTAACATAATTTGCATCTTGGCGAGAAAAAATATGAAGTTCAGAAAAGGTACCAAAATTAAAATAATTGATTATTCACACTAAGAGAAATCTTACGAGTAAACAATGCGTATTGAACCCACATTTTGTAATTATTCATGTTTTAGCAGAGACTTTAATTAAACACAGATAATTAGACACAGATAATTAAACAGAACGCAATGAAACATTAAGATGAATATCTCAAGACTTTTCGTAGTAATGGCAGTTGTCTTCAATAATGATTCCAATAAAATGTGAAATTAACTTCGTAATAAATTTTTGAATATTTTTCACATTAACAATTATCTTAAATGATTGACATTCCGATTTGTAAAATGTAACTCTTTAAAATGTAAAATGTTGAAGTAAAAAACTGGAAAGTGCTAAAAATACTTCTGTGATTAATATCGAAACGTTTTCTAAGTTCAATGCATGTTTCGTCGCTGAAAACATTTTTTTGTGGGATATATCTAAATTTCGGAAGTCATAACACAATATACGGCTCAAGCGTCAAGGAAAATGAGGCATATGTTAGAAAAAAGGAAACACAGAAGTCTTCTGTTGCTCAACATTGTTGGTCCGAAAATCACACTTTCAATTCTACTGCCAAAATTATTCAAAAAACATCTTCCTTTGGAGAACTGGATTTTCTAGAGGCATTTCACATTCATAAAAATTTTTCTGTTCTAGTTAACGATCCTAATTCCAATCCAAATTTGCCTTCGGCCTTTAAAGAAATTATGTTTTAGTTCTGGTTTCAACAACAGATGGCGCCACTTGCTTATTCTTGTCCAGGCTTTCTTATCTTATCTAATCATTATTTCCTATCTTCTTCATTTGCGGTTTTGCAGCTGAGGATGGTGGTTCGGTAAAACCATCGAAACTAGTCCTGTGAAAATTTTGTAAACTTAACGCTGATTTTTGTTGTTTGACCTTCTGAATTAGTATTTATTCGGCGTGTTATTGTGTCTTAATTACTATTCTGCTGTTTCAAATGTCCAACACAGATATCAGCACAAAGCGAAATGCGACAGATCTCTTTTCGTATGTGCATGTATTATTAAACTCTCTCCAACTATAAATTCACCTTGAAAACGTAAACGGTGCCCCCGTCCAACAGATATTCTAGAATGTGCTCTTAGGGACAAAAAGGTTAGGGACCTCTGGTCTAGGGTCCCAGTTTCTTCAAAGAGATCGGTGTTCCTGATGCCATGCCTATTAAAATATTCGGGAAAGGAGCCATGTTCTAAAATAAATCTTGTTAATTACGAGAAAGAGATATTATGTTTATCATCTACTTGTGTGATGCATTAGTATGTGCAGCGGCCCACAGGAATTAACATCAAGTGTTAACCAAGATTCTCAGAAAGTTCTTCCTGTTAAATTAATTACCATCAATTACCATCACTGACAGTGACTGAGCCCATAAAAGTGGATATTTTCTCTAAATTCTAGTATTGCTGCTCCACCAATCTTTCAGTTAGGGCGCCACTGTAGAACTCTTATAGAATTTTTCGAATTAAGGAAAGGGAAAAAATGAGTAATGCCCTCACCGGGAATCAAACCTGGACCTATCAAATACGCGTGGATATAATATAAAGTTAGTGCTTCCGATTATATAATATAAAGTAGTTAATTAGCAAATAATAAAGTAGTTAATTCATCCTCCATGCGCTTCAGATACGACCAGTTTTCCGAATGTTATTACCATAAGGCAGAACATTAGTTCATTTTTCGAGTTTAATCAAGATTTAATTTTTGAATAAACTGACACATTTGAAAGCAGTAAATAGGTTCCATAATCTAAATCGTTAGTTTATTTTTGTAATACATCTAATTTATGTAAATTAATATACTTTAAATTACGTTGTTGTAGCTACTAAAATAAGTGTCTAAATTATATGTTATGTACTAAGCATATAATACAGAATTTTGCTTTCGTTTTGTAATTTCTTCCCAATGCTGAAGTTTGGAAGTGAATAAACGTGAAGCAAATCTGACAGATCTATACAAACCCTTTCAAATATACAACAGAAATTTCCTGCTTGAGTAATTAGTAAAATAAAATGAACTGAATAACATTTCGTGATATGATATGAAGCTCGTAATAAAATAGATTGGTGAGAAGCTCTTTGACCATCAATAAGCTAGAACATTAAGAATTTTAAAAAATAAATTCAAATATTAAAAAAGCGTATTTTATATCAAATGCACTAAAAGTTATTTATTTTTTAGGAAATTGGCGTCGAATCGGCCATTATTGAAGAATCTGATATAGAAGGCCAAAATGGCGTTCTCCACGTAGTCGACAGGGTTCTCACGCCACCAAGTCACAATCTCATGGAACTGCTTCACAGCAAAGAAGAATACAGGCATGTATCTTAAATACATTTCTTTGAAATGAATGAATTTACTTAACATATGGTTTACATTTTATTTATTATTTAAAATCACTAGTCTTCCATTTGCTATTCTAATCTCGCGCAGTTTTAATGTAATGTTGTGTTAAATACCATTTTGTCACGTGACATTTCGAAATTGCTTTTTAAAATGTTTATGTTCATACGGTTTACTCTTAGTTACAGTTTTACTGTTAATTACAGTTTTGCTCTTTTCAAGGAGCTATTTGATACACAAAATCTTTTTTTCCTGCTAAACGTTCAGTATTAAAGGGAAGTTCCGTTTAAAAATAATGCTAAAATCAGCATTCTGCTATATAATATTATATATACCGCTATATAATATTACAGAACTTAAAAGTTACATGCTATATAAACTGATTCCTTTTCTTGTGCATAGATTTAAAATTCATCTTTTACCGATCGATATTATTAAATAGGATTGTTTCATTCATATTGCAGTAAGAATTGCCATAATTTCTTTGATGTATATTAATATGCACGGACATATAGGTTCTTATAGAGGGATAAAGGGCGACTGGGGATTAGGAGACCCAGTCGCCAGATTCTGATAGTGAAGAATCATCATCCATCAATCTTTCAGTTCGGGCGCCACTGTAGAACTCTTATAGAATTTTTCGAATTAAGGAAAAGAAAGAAATGAGCAATGCCCTCGCTGGGAATCGAACCTGGACCTATCGAATATGCGTGAAATCAGCTTCCAATTATACCACGAACGTTATAAGGTATTTCGTGCCTTCGTGGTGTAGTGGTTCTGCACACTGAGCCGGTATTTCAGAAGTCCGTGGTTCGATTCCCGGCGAAGGCGGTTGCATATTTTTCATCTTTTCTGCTTCCAATTAACTTAATGACTCTACAAGTGGTGCCCGAAATAAAAAAGTGTTGTGGATGATGATTCTCCGCACCCAGGATTTGGCGACTACGTCCCCTAAAACCTTAGTCGCCCTTTAAAAAAAGGAGTATATAAAGTATTTCTCCAACTTTCCCAGCGTGCCTTCGTGGTGTAGTGGTTCTGCACACTGAGACGGTATTTCAGAGGTCCGTGGTTCGATTCCTGGCGAAGGCGGTTGCATATTTTTCATCTTTTCTGTTACCAATTAACCTAATGACTCTTGTGATACTTCTTTAGCGATATGAAGCAACTCCAATGATGGAACACAGCAATAACTTTTATTTAACACTAAAAAAAATGGCAACAAACAAACAAGAAAATAAAACATATTTTAAAAACTTATTTAAAAAAAAAATAATTACATGCTTCGTTCGAGAAAATGCATGCAGCTCTCGAGCCTGCATTTCAATATTGCCAGTAAACTGTACATTATTTATTATTCATCTATTTCAAATGCACGAGAGATTAATAACAATATTTAAGCTGTTACACTCTGTTACGGTGAAACACCGAAATCGGGAGAATGTCGACTTTCACCGGTGAATGTCAGCATTCACGTAGTCTCTTGGTGTATGTCCGAAATATTTTCCAAATACTCTTATTTCTGACTTACACCGGTCAATGTCGACATTCACCATGTACTAATGGTGAATGTTGAACATATAACAATATTATATTTTCCTCTCCATTATTCAGTCGCGAATAAACGCACTTGAAACTTGAAATAAGATCTTAAGAACATGAGAACCTAAAGCACACAATACAATCAAAACGAGAAAGGAAAATAATAGAAGTTAAAAACTTACTTAATTATACAGTACGTTCTAAGTGAGAAAATAAAATAACAGTCATTAAAAACTTACTAAATTATGTCATTCAAATCTTATTTATTGCAACAAACTATTATGGCACTTTATGACCTCTCTTTTCGACTTTCACCAGAGCATATCTGTGATTGTCGACATACACCGGTGAGGGTCCGAATATACAAGAATGTAGTGAAATATTCAGTCTTTCACCGACGTATTTGGTGAATGTTGATATTCTCTGGTGAAAGTCAACATTCTCCAATTTCGGTCTTTCACGGTAACAACTTTACAAGGCAAAGCCGAAAGGAGGAAAAAATACCTTATAAATTATTTTTCCATTTCTAGTTCGCTTATTATTTCATGTGTTTTAAATAAAAGCTTTTTTCAAAAGAAGCTCTTTTTTCTATTTTCCTTCCTTAAAAATATCAGAAACTTCTTTCAAACACCTCACACTTCTTTTAAACAACAATTTGTTTTTTACAAAACAAAACTAAGTTTGGAAATAAAGAGAAAACAGACGTATGACTAATATTCATCAACAGAACGTATATGTCTGGTGATTTTTTTTAACCGTCTAAAGTGAACTTAAATTTTTATACCTTTGTATGTAATGACTTAAGTAAATTAAACTTGTTCAGCGGGAAAACAAGCGAATAAAAATGCCTCTTTGCGCTTGAGGCCTTTTTCGCTCGGGTAAACCAGCAACTCGAGACGATTTTTCGTACATTTGGCGAATTTTTTACGGCTAACTAAAAATAATTTCACACACGTTTAACCCGCGGGAAGGCAGTGGGGTGTATCATACCCCAACCCTACATAAAAGTGGAATATTCCTAACTTGTGAAACTGAAATTCTGTGATGCTTTTAGTAGCTGAATTTCTAGTTGTGGTTGACTTTCAGAACAGCTTTTTCTTTGTCTGTGTGTTTCAGAAAAATATTTATCGGTATTTTGTTGGAACTGGGGTATGACACACCCCATGCGCCTGTCCGTGTAAGTGTTTTTCTGACTGAATATTTAGTTCAGAAATTTATTTCTAGAGTGTAACAGTAAATATTTCTACTCACAAGTGATTTTAAAGTACTTGACATTAAATTCTTAAAAATTTCTAACTGCATTATTGTAAAAAGAATGAGTCCCTATGAACTGGAGATGCAACGCATGTGAGACTTATTAGAAATATTGAAAGCGATGAAGATTGCATTTCGGAAAACTGAAGATGAAACTAAGAATTTTCTACAATGTTTTGGTTTCCAAAAAGATAAAACATTAATTCCTGATGTTCCTAAAAAAGGAAAAAAATGTTCTTATGCTTTCAACATTATATAACGATCATACTATAGATGATACTATTGGGAGAAAAAAACGTCAGGAATTATATGTTTGAATAATATGACTAAAAGAGCAGTGGATATGGGGGATGAAATGTCAGCCAATTATTCAATTACCAGAATAACAAGGAGGTGGCCAATGGTAATTTTCTTTCCTGCACTAAATGTTGCTGTAATAAATGCTTGAATTATATTACATTCAACTGCTAATCCACCAACCAGAAACAGAAGTCTGTTTTTGAAGGACTTAGCCTTACAATTAATGAAAAAAAGTATTGAACAAAGATCAGAGATTAATACTTTTCCAAGAAATTGACGTATTGCATGCAAAACAACGCAGAAGTTTCGACGAAGAATTAAAACGAATACATGAAATTAGAAACAACTAAATATGAAAGATGTGATAAATTTTTTGCCCTCGCGCCAAGGACAGAAGAACGTTAATGCAATATTTAAAATGTGAAAACATTCTGTGCCAAGAACACATGAATGTATTTCGTTCAAAGTGGGAAGAAATAAAATAAGCATGGTGTATTAGAGATGCAATGAAACTTACAGGCATGATGTTTGTTTTTTTTTTTATTATTTTCATTTATCTTAATTTTAATCCTAAGATTATTTCGGAAATTAATTTTTTTGAAACCCAATTATTATTCACTTATTTATAATACACGAGAACAAAAAAAAAGTTTTAAAACTAAATAATACTGTTTTTATTGTATTTTAAATATTGGGGTATGTGATACCCCACGCGCCCACTCTAGTAACTTTTCTTGGTGCGACTTCCGCCGGGTTAAAGAAATCTAATGGTTCTTTGTCTGAAGATACCTACGGCTTTTTCGCCGGTTACAAATGATATTATTTGCGGTATTTGCTCGGATTTTGTGCACATTATTCATTCTGAATTTTTTGTCTCTTCTGCGGAATCATTGTCGCTTTTACATTCATTATCTTATTACACTGATTTTTCGCCTTCTTACATCTCTTATTTCCATAGCTATCTTCATCAATGCTTTCCTGCTATCTATCGTCAATGCATAGACGTAATTTCGCTCTTAAACGAAAAATCGAGCTCATCGTAGTCTATGCTTATTGGGCCCCGCATTTTTGAAAATAGTATTCCTTTTGCTACGATTGTCGAGAGATTCGCAGTTCTTATATACGCATGTATTGTTGAATACACTCATAAGGCGATATTTCCCAAACCAAACCTTAATAAATATCGTTACCACTGGTCAAACCGAGTGGCGATCAAGAGTCGCCTCTCGAGCGCAGGGGGTTAAAGTTAGGTTTTTAACTTTATTGAATGACATTTATTCTAATTTATTTTTCAGCATGATGGCGGATGCTATTAATCACGTACAAGAATTCGAGCCTCATTTCTTGGATACAAGCACGAACAAGTCGTTTACTATATTCGTCCCCACTAACAAAGCCTTCGAGAAACTAGGAGAAGAAAACTTGAATTCACTTATGAAAAACAGGAAGAGGCTAAAGAAGGTAAGGACCAACGTATTTATAAATGTATGTATACTTGCAACTGTACTTATCACCTACCCCTAGGAGCATCGTCTTGAAGCAGGCATGTGCATCACATGGCTCGGGTCCTTTTTCCATGCGCTTTTTGGTGTTCTTTCCATGCTTCCCCCCCCCCCGTTTTTTCCATGTGTTTTTCCATGTTTGGTGTTTTTTCCATGCGGGTTTTTTTTTTTTTTTTTCGTTTTTCCATGCGTTTTTTTGGTGTTCTCCCATGTGTTTTTTGGTGTTTTTTCCATGCTTTTTCCTCCGTTTTTTCCATGTGTTTTTTTATGTTTGGTGTTTTTTCCATGCGGTTTTTTTTTTGTTTTTTCCATGCGTTTTTTGGTGTTTCTCCCATGCGTTTTTTAGTGTTTTTTTTTTCATGCTTTTTTATGTTTTTCCATGCCTTTTTTGGTGTTTTTCCATGCGTTTTTTTGGTGTTTTCTCCATGCGTTTTTAGTGTTTTTTCCATGCTTTTTTATGTTTTTCCATGCCTTTTTTGGTGTTTTTCCATGCGTTTTTTGGTATTTTTTCCATGCGAGTTTTTTTTGTTTTTTTTCCATGCGTTTTTTGGTGTTTCTCCCATGCATTTTTTAGTGTTTTTTCCATGCTTTTTTATGTTTTTCCATGCGTTTTTTGGTGTTTCTCCCATGCGTTTTTTAGTGTTTTTTCCATGCTTTTTTATGTTTTCATGTTTTTGGTGTTTTTCCATGCGTTTTTTGGTGTTTTTCCATGCGGTTTTTTTTTGTGTTTTTCCATGCGTTTTTTAGTGTTTTTTCCATGCTTTTTTATGTTTTTCCATGCCTTTTTTGGTGTTTTTCCATGCGTTTTTTGGTGTTTCTCCCATGCGTTTTTTTAGTGTTTTTTCCATGCTTTTTATGTTTTTCCATGCCTTTTTTGGTGTTTTTCCATGCGTTTTTTGGTGTTTTTTCCATGCTTTTTTTTTTTTTTTTGGTTTTGTTTTTGTTTTTTCCATGCGTTTTTTAGTGTTTTTCCATGCTTTTTTTATGTTTTTCCATGCCTTTTTTTGTGTTTTTCCATGCGTTTTTTGGTGCATTTTCCATGCGATTTTTGGTATGGCCCGCGACGACTTTTCCTAATACCACAGAATGTGGCCGTTAACTCTTTAAAAATGAATACACACAGTTGTAATGAATAATTTTGTAAAACTTCTGTTTTCAGAATTTTTTACCCATTTTAAAAATTTTTCATTTTCATTTCCACCTTCCTCCCCAATGGAATTTCACCTTTAATTGCCAGTGGTTGGTGGTCATGACTTTATTGACTCTTCTGTTGCCGTCAATATGATCATGCTCACTACCACTGAAAGTAGTTGCCAGTCTCTACGTACATTTGTGAATTTGCGATCAAACATTGGTTAAGATGACTTCATTAACGAAGAGAAATGTAGGCGCTGTGAGTCTTAAATTTCAAGAGCAGTGGATTTAGGATTATTTGTTTTTAATGCCTCTTGGCTTGATACGTTTGAAAACTATTTCAATTTTGAAGGAATACAACTTAAAAAGACAATACAATAAGAAAGAGCGAAATAGTAAACTACAACAGTTACCAAAAGTCAACTGAATAGATAAAGTACAAAATTTGAAAAAGAGTATTTCATATTCCTATTTTTGGGTATCTAGTATTTCTGAGCAAAGCTCCTGGGTTTGGAATGTAAAGTGCTTTGCATTTTTGCATCGATATCTTCAGTTGAAATTTATCCACCCGTTCTTTGAACAATATAAGTGAATTGCTTGAGTATTCCTGTACTACCCTGCGGCTTATGCTCTGCATGATCAACAAGAAATCGTCGGCATAGGCCTGGGAAAGCGTGTGGGGGACAAACATTTCAATTGGCAATTAGGTTCCAAAAGACTAGTCCTAAACAAGACCTTTGTGGGCATCCTCTAGTGATCTTGTACATCTGGATACCAGTGTTAGAGATGCACTGCAGAGAGCTGTTGAGGAAAATCAGTTTACCCGAGAATTTAAAAAAAAAAACTGCTTCCATCTCCCTAACTGAAACCTCTTCACTCTGCGTCAAGCCTGGGCAACCGCGGGTAGTTCAGCTATTTAAGAATGAAATTTAAAGATTGATTCACTAGTTTTACCATTATCAACGTAGACACTACTAGAGTCTGTTTTTATCGGCACTAGGAAGATATACATAATGCTATACGTATAAACCAAGCGAAATTCAGTAATGACTCTCCGATGTATACAGTGTTTCACAAAAGCTTTCGCACACTTTCAAAATTTGCAGAAAAAGCGCAATAACCCGAAATTATAAAGCCTAATATTTTTTCATATGATCTCTATGTACTTTTGAATAAAACCAAACTTTTAAATTTTTAATACTGACTTATTTTCTTTTTCAAAAATTGAGAATGTAAGGAAGCATAGATAAAACACGCCACAAAAGTGATCAAAATTTCATTTCATTTTGGTGACGTTTAAAAAATTGTTTGACTTTATCTTTTCCTTGCTTACTTGGTTATATTTTATTTAATGTTTAAAAATGTCTTGTAGTCGAAACGAAGCAACGGACAGCATTCAAAAATTGATCATTTTTTATTATAAGGATGGAATTTCGATTCGGGATATCGCTAAATTAGTAAATTTATCCCATTATACGGTGCAGTATGCGATACAGTGCTTTAAAGAAGAAAATTGGATCCAAAATAAAGTAAGAAGATGTTATCGGGCAAAGACGATTCGGCGTGACTCTGTAGAGTCATTAGGTTATTTCGAAGAAGGAGAGATGAAAAATGAGCAAAGCCTTCACCAGGACTCGAACCACGGGCCTCTCGAATGCGCGCCGAGCGTGTTGACCACTACACTACGAAGGCATGCTAAGAAGGCGGGAGAAATACCTGATATACACTCCCTTTTAAAGGGCGACTGTGGATTAGGGGACCCAAGCCGCTAATCCTGGGGGTGGAGAATCATCATATAAATACAGTCGACAGCCAATAAAATTCGTTTTAGTCAGCTCTGCATGACGTCAAAGAGACTTTGGTTCAAAGAGGTAGATAAATTCCGTTTCAGAATTTATTCTCTAAGCTTATAGAAACATTAGGATCTTTTGGAAGCATGAAAGATGAAAAATGAGCAACGCCTTCGCCTCTGGATACGCTCCCAGCATACAGACCACTACACCACGAAGGCACGCTAAGAAGGCAGGAAAGATAACTTATATACCCCCTTTAAATAGCGACTGTGGTTTTAGGGAACCAGTCGCCAAATCCTGGGTGTGGAGAATCATATTCATCCACCCTTTTAGATCGGACTCCATTGTAGAGTCATTAGGTTATTTCGAAGCAGGAGAGGCAGTGCCTTCGCCGGGACTCGAACCTCGAATGCGCGCCGAGCTTGCTGACCACTACACTACAAAGGCGATAGAAATACCTTATAACTCAACGTGATCAAACATTTATAGTTAGAAAATCTGTAAAAAATTCACGTTTGAGTGTTGCAAAGATTTTTACAGAATTTACTGAAAATTTTCCTACTTCAGTTTCACTTACAACTGTTCGACAAGTGCTTAGATTAGCTGAATTACGTGGGCGCTCTGCTCGATGAAAAATTTTGGAAGTGCAAAAAAATATAAATCTTAGGTTTTTTTCTTCTCAAAGTCAATGGTAAATAAGCCCGAAGCTCATTAGAATCATGCCTTATTCGCAGACGAAAGCAAGTTCAATATTTTTAATTCCAATGGATGTATGTAGAAAAGAAAATGAGGAACTTAATCCCAAAATCTCGCTTGGAACAGTAAAAAAATAGCAGTGGAGGTGTTCTAGCGTGAGGGTGCATGTCAGCATCAGGATTAAATAATTTAGTATTTATTGATCACACAATGAACCATGCTATTTATTCAAATATTTTAAAGGATAATTTAAAATTATCCGTCCAAAATTTGGACACTGTAAATAACTGTATTTTTTTATCAGAGGAACGATCGTCAGAACATGGCTCTCAACGTTTGCCTTTTGGATGTCTATAATCATCCACAAGTTCTAAAAATATTACCTCAGAAACCAGATTTAAACCCAAGAGAATTAGAAGTTAGAGTATGAAGACATAGCATTAAAAGAAAAACCGAACTAAAAAACGTAATGATTGAAGAATGGAGGAACATTGATGTAGATATTACAAGAAAATAAATTGGTTAACTCTATGCCCAGACGTTTAAAAGCTGTCATAAATGCTACAGTATATATTACAAAATACTAACTGACGGAAATACTACAATATTTACTAATATACACAGATTTCTTTAAACCGTACGAAGACTTTCGTGAAGTAACTTTTTTGTTACTTTTTTATTAATGATTCTTCCAAAAAAACGTTTTAATATGTTCATAAAATAATTGGTGTAGTTTTGCTAAGAGAAGTTTATAGATATTATTAAAACATTTTCATTCTAAAATATTGATTTTTATTAATGAATAAAGAGATATTTCACTGAAGGTCATGAGCACGCGAACATTTTTCTGAGACACTGTAAATTGTTTGTAAACATTAACTTAAAAATTTCCAATTCAGACTAAAGTGAATTTAAAATTTTATAATGTGTATATCATTCTTTTATATACTTTGCATTATTTTATGCTAATAACATTACATTAAATTTAAAAACTGCACAGAATTTTACTCTGCAGAACAACTTTATTCAAAAAAAGAAAAAAAAAAGAAAAATTTAATTTTAATAAAAATGTAATATATATATATAAAAAATTGCAATGAAATAAACAATATCCCTTAACACAAATATTAATTATCTTAATAAATAAATTAACCAACTTCCCGTTGCAAAATCTTAAGAATTCAAATGGTATAAAGGAAGTTAAGAACTTTGTTTCCTAAAATAAATCATGCAAAAATTTTTTTTATAGAATTAAAATTACATATACTTAAAAACATAAAAAAATTACAATTAAATAAGCAATAAATCTCATATTTTCAAGAGAAAACCAGTCCAA